AGAGGACCCGGATCGAGAGTATGTAGCCGGAAGAGAGTTCCACATGCAAGTAATGCGAGAAAAGATACTGTTAGCATAGAACTTACGGTAACGTCTCGCCAATCAACTGTAAATTGATGAGATCTAGTTGCCACTCTAGTATTGCACTTAAATTCATAAAGTCTACGTACCACAGCGAAGAGCGATATTTATTTGTAATTATTTACAAAATGTGGCGCAAGGCCAAAATGGGGAAGGAGGAAAAGGACGATCTTTACCTGTCTTAACTTTAAACTTAGCTAATAACACATACTGACCCAAACATACCATAATATTCTTTACACCAAAACAATGCATTCTTGCTTACCATTCTTATACATCCATCATAATACCACATGGTCTCTATAAAAGTCCTAACTAGTTCCCATATGTACAATTCATTATCTGTGGAGGGGAGAATAAAACAACAATCTAAAAACTAGTCCCAATGAGTATTTACAATCTGAAAACAAAACTATTTACAAGAAATCAAATAACCACTGCGAATAGCTCATCTGATCAATTACCATGAAATTATTTATAGAAAAGGCAAAGGGCGGCAACTTTATGGCGGTGGGAAAATGACTGATGCCGAGACGCCTGCTCAGGACCAATAATATTGCAGATTCTTCTTTGAATTTCATCAAGAATCTCTATATATAACAGGAGCACCGGGCGATATGTGGTAGCAAATGGTAGACTTATAGATATGCAAGATAGATTCTGGAGAAAAAGTCAAAGGAAAGTTACTTCATTGTCAGCAAAGAATATTCGTCGGAGAAATCGCATCGAGTCTCGCTCCACTCCTGAATGTTAGCATCAGCCATATGCTGATGAAAAGTAGAAAATGGTCTCTCAATTGAATTTTAATAGAAAGCAGTTTTGTTTTGGAGGTGTTAAAATTAACAAACCTTATTTGCTCCAATTACTTTCAACAGATTTCTCGTGAATTTTATTAACAAATCCGTTTTATATTTCTTTATAATCGAAGCTTATCAGAAAGATTGCTGTCATTCTTGTCAAATCCATTGAATCATTGTTGGCATTTATGTAATCATATATACGTTCCTGTGTTGCGAGTGAGCCTTGTGGAGATTCACAAATGTTTTACTGCTGGACATGGCATTCATTAAAGATTTTATCTTTCATAGGGTTAACCATCACTATAAAATATAAATGACCTACAGAATAACAAAACAAAGACAAGCATAATATAGGGACTGGTTTAATGTAAGAGCATACCTATGCAAATGCAAAGAAAATATGTCTCAGTTCCCGCGAGGCTTTGCTGAAGATAAGTCATGGCGATCCGCAATCTATCTTTTTTAGTGCAATGAAGTTTGCTGTTCAAGAGTTGGAATTACTAGAGCCAGACATATTTTCATTAATGTTATAGCCTGCTTAATCGAATATAAAACCACGTATGATCCCAAATCCCACGAATAGAATAGATATATTTGCCTCTACACAAAGGAAGATACGACACAATTTCGAGTTTAATGTGTAGTCTCATACGCGTAGGCGTAGGCAGAGACAAAACTACACATTTCCTTTGCTGTAAGACATTTCACTTGTAATGCAATGAAAGAGTTAAGCGCCGGAATTAATATCGCCATCGTCCTGATTTATCTGGGTCAGTTTTTGCAATCTTTCTGCCTCAAGTCAAGAATATATTACTTTTTGTAGAAAATAATCTTTTTTTAGTTGCGTTACACCTTTTTTTTACATTGTCTTCGGTCAAGGTAGGACAAAAATATTTAATATTTACAGTTTATAACTGGAGAAATCTGAATATATATATATAGCGTAGAAATAAATGATACATTAAAATATAGACACCGAGACAACCCTCGTCTGGTAAATTGGATTCATCTGTAACCTTGGAAACATGAATTATGATTTTAGCTGTGTCTTTAAAACCCAGTAATTTTAAAAGTTACTCCAAAATTCGCTTGAGGATGAAATGGAACTAATGTCTTTAATTTAATTACAAAATTAAATTCGGGGCTTTTAGCTTCCATTTTTGAAACATGGTTAGAACTGTGTAGCGGAAAAACCATATTTTAAAACAATTAATTTATTATTAATGCTCTGTAAATTTAATTTATTTTGTAAAATAAAAATATCTATAAGAACAAGATTATACTTATTGTTCTTTCTTTATATATATAAAAATAAATATATATATAAGATGAGTCCCAAATTAGGACGAAACGGCCGTCCGGGCTTTCTGCATTCATTGAGTTTTCAGACTATGAATTACTTAAAAATATGATTATCAAATCCTGATAATTTCTATCATGTGTATATCATTGATTGAACCGGCTTCTAATACTCTAGAGTGGGCGGCTTAGTGATAGTAGTCGTGGCTACAGGAGGCACGGTCCTATGGTTAGAGAGAATCTCTGTTGAGTTCCGCCACGGAATATGTGAGCGAGCGGCGCTATATTGAGTCTGATTTGCTATCTCTCCGTCACCGAGGCCTGTTAGAACAGTTGGTATGATGTTTGCTTCGCAACCCTAACTCGGTAGTGGATGCGCACTGCTGATGAGTCCCAAATATAGTATAATCTCTCTGAATATATATATATATATATATATATATATATATATATATATATATATATATATGTGTGTGTGTGTGTGTGTGTGTGTGTTTTCAAACAGGTTTCAGAGAATAATACAGACATAAAAATAATAATAATAATAATAATAATAATAATAATAGTAATAATAATAAAAGACTTCAAATTTTCGAGACTCGCTATATCAAAAAATCAACCAATCATCACGCAACAAAATTTATTATGAATATAGCAACAATATATTAAAGTGCATATAGCATTTAATGTCATTTTACATTTCTACCGTCAGCTCCCTTATATTGAAAGGTTTGTTTAGTAAAAAAAAAAAAAAAAATCCATAACTAAATTGGATGAATTCAAAATTCTAAAATTACTATAACGCAGCGCGTGTTTTTAAAAATCACTATGACAAGAGGATGCAGATTTTATCGTAGTTACAATAGCATGTTTACAATTGTAATTTACCCCTGAAGATGATCTTAGAAAAGATCGAAAGTACTTCGGTCAAAAAAACGACGCCGCCTTGTTTGATGAATTTCATCATAACATCAACAAAATGATTATACACCTGGAAAGGATCAGTGTAAAAATATGTCTATATTATTCAATGAAACATGTTTGAATGAAAATATGCTACCTATATATATATATATATATATATATATATATATATATATATATATAAACATTTTTTAAACATCTTTCGTTAAATGTGGCAAACAAGGAAAATTTAATTAATTTTATACTTATTTTTCTTGCATTCCTACGTTTTCCCTTTGGTGTAAGTAAGTGAGTACAGAAATGTTCCATAATGTCCATTGTCCTAAACTCTTTCGACCACATCTTTAGCCATTTTCAAGGGTCTTTTGTTTTTGGTGTTGTTAGATTCTTTCCATGTTTTGACTGTTTAATATATTATTTATATATTTTATATATATATATATATATATATATATATATATATATAATCTCAGTCTCAATCTCTATCTATAAAAGGCAGGATGTATGTGTGTGTGCGCACCCAAATTTAAATGCACATGCTCCAAGTTAGCGGGAAGGCCAACGCTGACTTTGCATTTCCCTACTCCCATCGATAGTGGAAATAATCGATTTTTTCATGCTTCTACGGCAGTTTTCATGTAGTTTGCGGCCATTTTCTACTGGCCAGGGTGAGAACCAATAGCTGGCTGCCACGAATAGGCAGGAAGATTCTATTGGCCAGCGTGAGCGCCAACAGCTGACTGACACGAATGTTAACTAGCATGCAAAAAAAAATCGATAGCTGCATTCGTCACAAGTGGGAAAAATTTAAATCTGCATGTCACTTTATTCCAGTTGGCTCATTCGCTTGTTTAAACTCAACGTTGATTCTGATTCCGCAGAACTTGGTTGGGTGTGAAAAAGTATTTGTTGTTAACATTCTTTTTTCATTCGGTTTTTCCAGTTACGAGTCCTTTTTTAAAGCTGATCGTTTTGTGTTCATTTTGTTTAGTTCTTTTTTCGTAACAGATTTAATGTTTAGTATAGAACTTAGAAAAAATTTACAGTGTGAGATAGGCAAGAAGTAAGGCATGTAGCAACATCAACACGGCAAAGGGCACTCCTTTAAAGGCAAGGAAGGGCAAAAATATTTTAAGTCAAGTGATAGCGATTGCTGTATGAATCGTACGATTTTGGAATCAAGCACGGGCAACGCCGGACCGTGCTGATAGTATCTACATATATTGATACACACACACACACACACACACACACACACACACACACACACACACATATATATATATTTCGGTTGAGCTCTCTGGGGAGGAAATGTGAGTTTGTAAACAGTGACTGTTATGGCTAATAATGCAAGACTCTTCGGTAAATCGAACTGAGTTCTCTCAGTCACTGGGTGTTTATCTAAAAATAAATACACTTAAAATTCACCTTCATCCCTGCCGTGCGCCAACGGCTTAGTGGTAGAATCCCCGACTGATGCCAATTCAATCGGGTTTCGATCCTAACTAGAGGCAACTGGATGTCTAGCCACACTGATGAGCTGTGATACAGCGAAACAGTCTGTCTGTGGATGACAGTATATATATATATGTATGTATGTATGTATAATAAAATGACAAGGAAAAGAAAGATCACCATTATTACGTATGAACTATTAGTTTCATGCTGGTTGCAATTTACTTTTAGATTGTAAGAAGTTTATTTTTGTTAATAGTAGTGATTTAGTTATACAAGTCTTACTAATTGGTTAATACCCATAGCTGGGGTGGGGTCGATTCGTTCTTTCTCAAAGGTTGTTGAGTGTAAGTGAATATAAGGAACTCAATTAGAATTGGAATTTGGCTGTCCGATTAACAATTCCGAATCATTAACCATTATACCACTCGCACATCCAAGCTGACAGCATCGTATATTCCCAGGCGGTCACCCATCTAGATATTGACCAGGCACGACGTTGCTTAACTTTGGTGATCGTACGGGAACCGACGCGATGTGGCCGTAAGTCCGCGCCATTTTGGTGAATTAACAGATAACTAAATCAATCAGTGGAATACCAAAGCATTGCCAAATGAAACTAATGAAGCTTAAATTCATTTTAGCGTCCATAATCCCGGACAAGGCTGAAGGAACATTTTTCAAGAAAATCATTTTTACTTATTTCTCATTAAAATAAGACTATTTTAGTGAGGGAATCTTAAACCAATACCTTGAAGGCCTTAATACTGACATTGGAACATTTTCCAATACCCATTTTATCTGTTCTCAAAATGACCGTGTAATTGATCAAATTTACAAATTGTATCAGAGACTTGCAACACCAAACCCCCAGCTACATGAGCTCGCCAAAATCTATAGATCGTCTACATCTGGAGTGATGGATACTTGAATTCTTCGTTAGTTCACAGCTTAATAGATCTATTTTTCAGATCTTAGGCTAGGGCCAATCAAAACTATAAGAAAAACGACATCTGAATTCTCAATTCAGGTTGCACTCGTCTCGCTTGTGCATTTTAGCACAACAAAAATCAGCCTTTTAACTCTTTATCCTAACGAGCTCCATCTGATGACCTACCTCTTGTGGTGATCTGCCGTAGAACAAACCCATTGAAGATAACAGCGATTACCCAGCCCTCATTGCCGATGGGAAGGAGCCCACTCTATGGCCCGTTTTCAAGTGTTACACCCACCACTTTGTTCTTTGGCATTCGTAAGGGCAGCAAGCTACTTGGAATTTGCTGAATATTGCCATATTGTAGCTGGTTTCGAAAGAGTCACCATGGGAGAGTAAGCTGCAGGGTCCCAAACAGTAACGCTATTCAAGTGTGAAACATTCGTAGGAAAATATTATTACGCATGTCTTCTTAGTGGAAATAATTTGCGCATCGGTAGGAATCATGCAGCGGTCTCATCTACGAGATAGGCCTTACTTTGAGAAGTCATGAAAAAAAAAAAGAAAAGAAAAAGAGAAAAAGGGCAATTTGGAATTAGTGTTTTAAAAATGACAAGAGCAAGATCATAAAATAGACGGTGGTGAGGGGTATACTTTACAGAGGAATATGTAGGAAATATAGAATTCTAATATATAATATGTAACATATAATACACTGGCCAAATCGAAAAAAATAGATTCTTAAAATCCTGGATAATTATTTGGAAAACGAATAAAACAGTTACGCGAAAATTATAGTAAACATTTCGGTTTTCTTTCGTAAAATGAATAACTGCTTATCTTCGCATTCTTTACATCGTAAAATGAATGACTGCTTATCTTCGCATTCTTTATCGTAAAATTAACGCATTCTTTACATCGTAAAATGAATAACTGCTTATCTTCGCATTCTTTACATCGTAAAATGAATAACTGCTCATCTTCGCATTCTTTACATCGTAAAATGAATAACTGCTCATCTTCGCATTCTTTACATCGTAAAATGAATAACTGCTCATCTTCGCATTCTTTACATCGTAAAATGAATAACTGCTCATCTTCATTCTTTACATCGTAAATGAATAACTGCTTATCTTCGCATTCTTTCATCGTAAAATGAATAACTGCTCATCTTCGCATTCTTACATCGTAAAATGAATAACTGCTCATCTTCGCATTCTTTTACATCGTAAAATGAATAACTCGCATTCTTCATCGTAAAATGAATAACTGCTCATTCGCATTCTTTACATCGTAAATGAATAACTGCTCATCTTCGCATTCTTTACATCGTAAAATGAATAACTGCTCATCTTCGCATTCTTTACATCGTAAAATGAATAACTGCTTATCGTCGCATTCTTTACATCGTAAAATGAATAACTGCTTATCTTCGCATTCTTTACATCGTAAAATGAATAACTGCTTATCTTCGCATTCTTTACATCGTACATGAACTTTAAAGCGAGGAAACACCTCAGTTTGGTTATAATAAATAATAACTCGCCAAAATCTCATTGAAATTAAATTATTTTCCTTTACATATCTTCAACACCAGGGCAACTCGACGTTGTGTAATGGTCAGCAAGCTTGTCTCGTTAAAATCATTAGTAGTGATTTCGATCCTCATTGGGTGCTCCATAATTTTTGCCTTGTGTCACATCTAAGCTGCGGTTAGAAACAATCATATCTTCAATGTCAATTGTGTTCGTTTTAAACGCATATAATGCGAGCCAGAATACTTCCTCATGGATGATTATTCTGGTTCGCGTAATTTTTGCGAATATATATATATATATATATATATATATATAATATATATATATATATATATATATATATATATATATATATATATATATATATATATATATATATATATATATATATATATATATATATATATATATATATATATATATATATATATATATATATATAGCTATATATATATATATATATATTATATATATATATATATATAGTTATATATATATATATATATATATATATATTAGCTATATATATATATATATATATATATATATATATATATATATATATATATATATATATATATATATATATATATATATATATATATATATATATATATATATATATATATATATATATATATATATATATATATATATATATATATATATATATATACATATATATATATATATTTATGAATAAAAATGACAATAGGAAAACTGGTAATTGGCGACTGACGCGTTTCGTCCAATGTGGACTTTATCAAAGCAAAATACTAAATATGTTTTCCTATTATCATTTTATTCATAAATATTGTCTTCTACTGGTTAAATCGGAGAAATTTTCATATATATATATATATATATATATATATATATATATATATATATATATATATATATATCCAGGTAAGATGAGGACGAATAAAAAGTACAGTTACAACGTTCGTAACATTAAATTTAAAAGAGGGCTCAATACAAAAGTAGAGCAATATATTAAGAAAAAATGTGGGGGTATAATGTAAGTGTTTCTTTGTTTCGTAAAAAGACGTTGTAGTTTGCTTTTAAATCTAAATAAATCGTTTACTCGCCAGTAATTTACACTCGCCTGATGCGATGCATTGATATGCATCGAAACATGACTGCAAGGGTGTAGCGATTTTGACATGTTTTCGGTGTAATATCCTAATATATATATATATATATATATATATATATATATATATATATATATTGTGTATATTTAGGCAGCAATTTTTCATTAATGCATGTTTCATTAAATAATATAGACAAGTTTTGTTTATTTATTTTAAATTCCTTTCATATAGTCTGATAAGCTTAATAACATTACCATTGAAAGACACGAGTTAGTTGTTGCTTTGAATTTTTTCATGCAACAAAAATAACTATCATTATTGTTTCGTCCATGTATTGTTTGATATATTGAAATGTAATTGTCATCTTTGATAATGGCTTATGTAAGCCGAAAGCTTAGATTGGATTTAAACATGTCTCAATATGGTGATTTCCTTTCGTCTTTCAATGATAATGTTATTAAGCTTATCAGTCAATATGAAAGGAACTTACTTAAAATAAATAGACACAACTTGGCTATATTATTTAATATATCTCTTATAAAGTTAGATATTTTTCTAGACAATCTTATTAAAATTCCTATCTTACGTTTTATTCTAAATAAAACCCACGGCAAATTTATTTTGCACAAGCAAAAACGTTATCAGATGTATGTTCCTGTAAAATCTAAAGAATGTGCGTGTAGTGATTTTCCAAGCGTAGCTTAGATGTGGCACAAGGCTGTAAGTAGGGGGCACCCAGTGAGGATCGAACTCACTACTCGGTTGTAATTGTTCTAGCGAGACAAGCTTGTTAACCATTACACTGCCTAGAGGTGCCCCAGAATGTGAGTGTAGTATAACGCTTTTAGACGTAGAAAGTTAAAATGGCGATTCGATTTGAACTTCCGATCAAGTCTGTTATATTCATGCTCGTACTATTAACACGGGAAAGGTATGAATCCATCTCTTCTCCCCCCTCTAGTTATGGATTAAATAACAGGAAATAATGAGCTCTCTAGCTTTCGATGGCTGATAGTTTAGCTGAAGAACGCATTGGAAAAGGATTAAGTTTTCTAAGAAGTCAAGGAAATTCTCAGATAAATAAAATGAATTGATAGCGAATCATTATCCCGTCTCGATTTCTTGTATACTACCATTCGATATAGTATTTCAAGTCTCATTCTCCTATGGTTTCGGTGTACCAAGCTTTTTAAGGGCGATAATTGACAGATGTTTATATATTCAATAGAAGAAAGATCTAACCATCGTGCAAAGGGTTTGAGCAGGACGGCATCTTCCTGTTGCATAAATGGCAGCAGAATTTGTTGAGTCTGTACGTATATAGCTCTGTTCCATGTTCCTTTCGCAAACGCTAAAGGCGAGAAAATATTCTAACTTATGGCACATTATGACAATAGAGTTTGGATGTGTGTATCGTGAGAGAATATATTCTGACGGTGCTGCTATCTAGGTCTATGATGCACCCGCAAACGACCATCCCATACACGAATGCAGAACCTGCTGTCATCATTGAACACGCCAGGGTGATATTCTCCTGACATGATTGGAATCGTTAACGAAGGTGTTGTATGGTAATTGAAAGTCAGGATAGTGACTAGCGAGCTATTAGATTTGTGCAAATAAGCGCTCCACGTTCCATATTCGCTCTCATTTATCGGTCCTGTGTTGTAAACGCCGTGCAGACTGCCATTGCTACTCTCACAATACAACGATATCAGCGAACACTTATGCGTCGTGGCCGTCCAGAACCGGCTCTACGATTGTAGAAATGTTCATTTGTGCACTGTTAACAACGCTGAAGTAGACATAACCATTTCCGGAACATTGCCATCCCTCCAACCTCTTGAAAGGTCAGATTCACCTAAACTTTGAAAACAGTTTTAATCGAAAAGAATCAAGTATTGACACCTACTTGTACTAGATTATTTCTCTATACTAAAACGTATCACAGAATGCATCACTGTTTAA